AGCCACTGGTCTGATGCTGGAAATCACAAATACTATGACAGAGATACGTTCCACAATGTCTCCTAGACGCGTTGATTAAGTTGCAAAAACAAGATCGGACCAATCCTATAAAGTCGTGACCAAACAGAAGGCCACACCATCTTGATCTTTATATCTAAGGCCTAGGCTTTTTGAAATAGCACTCGATAATCATTCATTTTAAGAGGCAAGATCAAGTGAAATTCACCGACATCGCGGGGGCCACTATATACTTGTGGGGAACTTTAACTATCAGTCCTTGATTACTTTGTGACCTAGGCTGAATGCCGTTCTTGTTCCAGATCTATTGATAGTATTGAAACCCACTTGCCATTTGGCTTCGATTTTGTCGTATTCGGACTTTAATCTTTTTGGTACTTTTAAAAAATATCTCCTAATCTTGATACCTTGCTCTACCTTCATTTATAAGAGAGGAAATTACTAAAATAGCCCTCAAACTTGTTTGTGACTTATTTCTTCGATTTTGCTTAATTTTCTGCCTTTCTATTCCTTATACAATTTCCCTTCTTTTACAACTTTTTCTTCTCATATACCAGAATTATTTGCCTGATTATTATGCCCCTGATCAGTAGTGCTTCATGCTTTACTGTTCTCATGCAATGTTAATAGCATTTGAGTTTGCACATTCTTATCCATTCTAACTAATGTTTGTAATGTTCTAGCTTAATATTGTTTTGGAGCAACGTTACTCCACCTGTCGCTTTTATGATCCCTTGTCGGATATTTATTTGTTTATGATAGAATTAAGGGAATGCATCAGCATGATGCTCCAATTCACGTATTATTGCTTCTTAAATGGCCTCTACTTCGAAGTTGATCACAATTTTAATCTCGCTTGGACCTTACCTGCACTCCCCGACTGGCTTCTGTATCTTAGCTTGTGCATCACACTACCACTTCCTTATGCATCATGCACAACGAAGGGCACAGATAAAGCAGGCCTTTACTGATTGATACTTGTATTGACGAAAGTTGGCAGTGGAAATGGATAGCTCCTATTGACATCGGCAATGCTGCCAGAGAGAACTTTATTATCTTATAACCTTTCCGCGAATTTATATTGACGCATCACGTATTAGGATTAAATTATCTCGTCATTGAAGTCGCTATCCTCCCTAAATAAAGGGAGGCCACAAGGCATACATTGCTTTGGGGATATCTCTTTTTTGCGTTGCAGCTTCCATTTTCCTAACTCTACAACCGTGAATATTTAGCAAATGTGTATCAGCATGCTAATATTTCCTTCGTATTATAATTATCTATAATAGGTTTCAAATCATGTAATAGGCTTTAAAATTAACTATTGTTCTGACTCACAGAATTATCTGCAGGGATTTATATATTTGAAACGTATACAGAATTATGCGGGAATAATATGAATATAGTTTGCGTGTGTAGATGTGGTTTGGAGACGAGCCGAAAAGGATAGCGGAAACCTGGCGACCCAAGCAGTGTTCTGCATAATGTAGCCTTAGAGTCGAATGTCGCACTAAGTCTCGACGAGGAGTGGCTGCTCGATTCGAAGCCGGTCTCTGCTGGCGCCAAGTAGACTTAACTTGAATTTTAATCATGCATATGCGCTATCCAACCGACTTTGCCATAATGCATATGCAAAGCGCCAAGACGCTGTGTATATGTGAATGGAATATGTTAGAAGTGAAGCACGATTTTTGCCGTTTATACAAGGGCCTATTCCATCAGGATGGGTTAGTAGAAGTGAAGACGCAGTTGTGCTAGAAGCCTCCTGGCCCTCGGAAATCCAATTCTACGATATTTCCATAGGCGACCTGACGATGCAAAATGTTTTTGTAGAAGCTAGGATGTTGCTCTTAGAGATAGTGCTCAAGTGGATATACTGCTGGTTTACGACTAGAATGATTGACCCGGGAAGGAATCCAGAGCAGCATGGAGGCAGACGCCCTCTTACTTAAAGAGGACTGAGCCATGGAGAAGTTGATCGACTTTGTAGTTCTTTTTGCTAAATATTTTGCGGTAAGGTTTGTTCGGCCTCTGTTATCGCTACGTGTCGAGCCGTAACTCAGACTTCTGCAATGTATCGGAGTCTGGGCGTGTAGACTACGCGTTAGGTGATGAGACGTTTAGCTGAAAAAGGCTTGTTGCAGGAAATTTTATATTCTGCTTTAAGTTTCAGTATGATGGCCGTATAGAAGTGCAGGGGGAGGGGGCAACAGATTCAGCGTCGCGTAACCTAATTGAAGCAATATAGTAAGAAAGGGAATCGAATCACTAAAAACTCACGACCTAGACTGAACTCTCATTTGCTCATCATCCAGATACGAAATAACGACCCTTCTAAACGCCATATGATCTTGTTCTTCACACCTTCGATTAATCTATAAGATATGGATTGTAGAAATAACTACTTAGAGCGTCTGATATTTTTGGAAGTATTTTTTCCACAAAATTATATTTTATTACTGCTTAACATAACAGCATTATCGGAAAACTTCCTTCTTCATTATTGCTTGGACATTCATTTTATTTGTAAGTGTATGATGAAGAGATTCGAGGGTCGATCTCACCAGAAGAGGGCGGTTGAAGCCCGTCTTACTGCAGTCGTTTGGCTTTTATACGACGTTGACGCAGTCCATGAGACCCCCCTTTTTCGGGTGTAAACGGGCTGGGCTTTTGTCCATCATATGATGGACATCATCAGAGCTGGGACTCATTATTGTAAAATTATCAAGTACTATCCAACTTTATCATACCTCGTGAACTGCGTCAATCCCAACTTCATATAAAGGCTAAACGGCTGCAGTACAACGAACTTCAACTGCCTCCTGGTGAGCTCATTCTTCGAATCTCTTCTTCATACACTTTCATACGAAATGAAAATTCAAGCAATAATGTCTGAAGATTCATCAAAACCCAGTTACTCTTTATGACTTTTTTCAATTTCAGATTAGGTCTAGAATTTAGGAAAGAGAATTTTGCTGATTGGTATTCGGAGATCATAACCAAGTCTGAACTTTTGGAGTATTACGATGTCAGCGGCTGCTACGTTCTGCGCCCTTGGGCGTATTCTATCTGGCAGGTCATTCAGCGCTACATAGATGACGCCATCCATGTGTTAGGAGTCGAAAACGCCTATTTTCCTATGTTCGTATCACAATCTGCTCTAGAACGGGAGAAGACACATATTACTGATTTCGCACCTGAAGCAAGTCCCTCAATTTTGGGAATACTAAATTTTTATTACTGCATTACTTTAGAATCTCCCTTAGACTCATTTCA